GGGGGGCTGTGGAGGGGCTGTGAGAGGCTGTGGGGGGCTGCGGAGGCTGTGGGAGGCTATGGGGGCTGTGGGGGGCTGTGGGAGGCTGTGGAGGCTGTGGCGGGCATGCCCACTCCATCAGACCTTATGCCCATCACTTTTCGTGTGAAGTCTGTCTGCTCTTGGCTCTGGTGACACTGCCATGTCCTGTCCTGTTTCCCTGCGCCTATGTCCTTTACTTCCTGCCCCTGTTCCCTTACCCAACTGAATATATTTATCAAAGGCAAGAAGATGTTATCCAAGGCAAAGGAACAGCGTCTGGCTGTCTGGTCTTTACATGTTCAGCCTGTAGCAAAGGCCTTGTGATGCTGAGGTGCCAGGTTCCCCAGCGCTAGGCTACATACAGGCCAAGTGCGGTTTTCCAGTCCCTCCTTGCTCTGGGAGGGGCGGCTGGAGACGCCAATGCACTAGCCCAACAGGACCTGCACCCGTGGGTGTCCCCAGGGTATGTGTAGCCTGTGTTGTGCGTGGATGTGATGGGTGATCTAAGGTGACGTTAGAGCTGGGGAGGCAGGAACACAGCACCAGCTGGTAGCGTCCCCAGCGTCTGGTACTCAAGCTGTCCCCCTCTGCAAAGCAGTCTGAGGAGGTGGGTAAACATGGGGGCAGGTAGTCAAGGTGGTGCTCGCCTGCCCTCCCTGACGGGAACTCTGGCATCCTGGGAAGCCCCCTGGGGGGGTACGCCCAGACACAGCAGGTGGCACCTAGGGAACCCCAACCTGGACCGTGTTTGAGTCTCACCCACAGGATGCCGAGTGTGATGTGGCTTCTGCAGGTTCTCACCTGCAAGCCTGTTTTCCTGGGGAGGCCCCTGGGCTCCCAGCGTTGGGGGAGCGGCACCCCTTCCTACCACATGTGGTGCAAATACCGCCCTGCTCATCCGGCCTGGACCTGGGCACCCGGGAGCAGGTGAGGCCTGTCCAGCAGTGCATCTTGCTAAGGAAACACCTGCATTAAGACTACGGAGCTCCCACGTCTCTGCATCAAGGGCCGCCTCTGGGCGGGGAGGCTTGGCCTTGGCCAGAGGCTGAGCTCTCCAGGGCAGACACTGCACCAGGCGCCGGCCAGGGCCCTGGCACTCGGGGCACCACCGGTGCAGAAAGCGCCACCTTCCGGTGATGGGAGGAGCTGCTGGGGAGGCGGCCTTCCAGCCTCTCCAGAGCCCAGCGCCCTTTCCCCACGAAGCCCCTCCCGCTGGGAGTCCCGGGCTGCTCCCGAGTGGGCGTCCCGCCTCGCCCACGCGGAGGGCAGGGCTGGGACCTGTGGTGGGGCCCGGGGGCTCCCTCCCCCGCCGAGATAAGAGGCCCTCCCCCGTCCATGCAGAAATGGAGCTCCACAGCAGGGGTGAGGGGTCCCCGCTGTCACGGAGCAGGCTGGAGAGTCCAGGCTCCCTGGCTGCGCCCACGGCCACTCCCCGCACCGAGTGACACTGGAGGGGTGCTCAGGCCGCAGTCCCTCACTTCGCCCACCGGGAAGGGCAGGCGTGGGAGGCCCGGGTCCCCGGCACCCTCGCCCCTCATCCCTCAGAGCAGAAACTGAGGCTCAGTTTGCAGAACAAAAGAAACCCCAGGGCTCGTTTAAGGGCGTTTATTTCGCTTCTTTCACCAGTTTCCTCTGGACAAACAATTTGCAAAAATAGTAACGATCTGCCGGCCGGGCGGTTCCTCTCGGCTCCGGGGCTCAGGGGCCTCCCCCCTGGGGCCGCGGCCCTGCAGGGTCC